TCCTTTTCTGCTCACCCCTGTAAGCTCACGCTGCGGCCTATCAAATAGCACTCCTGGTGAAGGTCGAGCTGGAAGGGTGCGACCTTCTCACTGTGAAGGAGCTGAAGGCTTCTTCAACTGCCCTGGAGGCTGCTGCGGCTCTGGAAGGGGAGCTCAAAGAAGCCCGAGCTGAGGCCCAGCTGCTGAAGTCCTCATCCTAGACCGACAAGGCCGAGCTTAGGCGTGTCAAAGTTGAAGCCGCTCGTCACCTAGACAACCTCTGGGGTGCGCATGCCATAGCAAAGTGCCTGGAGAAGGAGAAGTTTGCCTTGATGAAGGAAAACGACGAGCTGGGGCGCCTCCGAGAATACTTGGATGGCAAACTTCAAGACTGCCATTCTGAGGTGGTAGATCTACAGGCTAAACTTGTGTTGGCAGAGTCCAAACTTACCAATGAGGTTCTCTTGGAGGAGGCCTTTCGCCAACATCCTGACTTTGACGGGTTCGCGAAGGATTCCAGCTATACGGGCTTCAAATTCCTGATGAAAGTGGTCAAGGAGGTGGCTCCCGAGCTCGACCTCGAACCCATCAAGCTTCGATATGCTAAGAAGTGGGCTTCGGGTCCCAATGAAACCCCTGGCCCCCAGAACTGTGTCAACCGCTACTTGAAGGAGCTTGATTCTGACACCGACTTCGACGAGGAAGAGGATGAGATCCCTTCTTCCCAAGATGCTGACGAGACTCTTCCTCCAGCTATCGCCGCGAACTCCTTCCAAGAAGCTGGGATGATCGACTTTTATGAGGTTGACATCCTCGGGTCCCAAGGGGAGCTCGGATCGCACCTTGGAAGTAGTTGACCACCCATTCTATCTTTCACAACTTTTATCGTGTTTGTTTTTTTTTACTTCGCTTTCCATGTTTTGTACTTCGTCACGAGGTCTTTAAACCTCGGCCAAATCCTCGAAATTAATGAACTAAACTTTTCGGATTTAATGGATTTCGTTTTCTGAAGAGCTGCTCTTTGACTTTACTTGTTTTATTTTTATCAGTCTCCATCTTCTACCTCAAACCCATAAGTTCTTTTAGAGGTTTTGAATTTTTTCTGAGTTCTAACCCACCTCGGGCCCCCACTTAATTTCACATCGAACTAGCACCCTTAAGAGAATGAAATTAAGTAACATGGAGTCCTTTACTGGGTTAGCCCCTGAAAAGTTTTACAAACCCAATCCGTTTTTGACCATTTTAACATTTCAAGGGTAATATCTTCTCAAATGCTTTGCGTTCCACGGATGCAAGAGCAGCTTTCCTTCAAGATCGGCCAGCATATACGTTCCTGGTCGAACTACGCATTTGACTTCAAACGACCCTTCCCAGTTTGGTTCTAGTGTATCAACATGCTTTTGTACTCTTCGAAGGACTAAATGTCTGACCTGAAAGCTTCGAGGTTGAACTCGTGAGTTATAGTGCCTCGCCATACGGTTTCGGTATTCCGCCTTCCCTTTTTTCATCGAGGAGGTCAAGGTTCAAGAGTAACTCCTCTTCGCTCCTAACTTGTTCGTAGTAGTCGACCCTTTCGGTCGGCATCCCGATCTCTACGGGCACCACGACCTTGGAGCCAAAAGCCATAGCGAATGGGGTTTCGTCAGTCGACTCCCGAGGTGTAGTTCGGTAAGACTAGAGTACCTCAGGTAGCTCCTCCGCCCACCGTCCTTTTCTTGC